AAGTCTGACTGAGTCTTGCTTTACATTAGCAAACGGTTCAGTGTTTTGAGCCCAGACCGGTCAGATACAATTGACTGAGATGTGTCCGAACACTTTTATACTAGTGTTATAAAATTTGTGCATTCAGCAGTGGGTGTTTGGCAGATATTCAGCCGTTTTCTGGACTCAATAAAAAGATGTTTATGTGTTCAGCATACTGATTTTTTTTTTTCCACAAATATGTAAAGTATAGAACATCACCAAACAACATGCACAGAAATACAATATGTGTGCTTCACATTGGCCTCCAGCAAATAGGGATCAGAGCAATCTGTAGCGTTTTCTGTGCATGCATGAGTGTGTCTGCAACACTGGATCACGGCGCTGTCAGTGCATCCTCCAGCTCCTTCCTACTTTGTAAACAATACACAACCCAACAGGTGAAAAACAACTCTGAGAAAAGCTTTCTTCCCTCCTCTGACATCAGATAACAGACTGCTGCCCTCACTCATTTCTCATCTCCGACAGACAGGACTCAAACGTCTTCAGTGTACTTTGCCATTACTACGATCTCAGGTTTTTGTTTTTTTTACTAAGCAAAGCAAACAACAGCACGGTCGCGTTTGAGTTTGCTTTTGTTCTCCTTGAATGAGGTCAACCAGACTCAAACTATCTCATTTGCTGCTGCAGCCTTTAAGCGCAGGGTTTATCTTCATTCAAATTACAAACAACAAACCGCTAAGGGCACGTCTTGCTAATAGAACAGCATACATTGATTCTCTTCTTTGCTCTTATCTAAAATGTTAATCAATACCCCGAGAGCTTGTGGCTGGTCTTTAGAGGAATGTGCAACAACGAGCTGATCAAGAGTCTTCACAGTTTCCCTAGATGCTGGTGTGTTTTTTAATCTGCTGAATGGATGACTGACTCAGTGTTCTTTTGGGGAACTACACAGCTGAAGGGTTTTGTTGCAGAAACATTTCTGAAAAGTGACACCTACTCCTACAAACGAAAATCAGCATGCCAGGTTGTATTCTCAAGATTCAAAAAGAATCTTGAGAAATCTGTGATACCAGCAGTAAATCTCAGTCGTTTAGTTAGTCAAAACAGAAAAGCTCCTGACCTAATTTGCATCAACATTTAACTGTCAAAATCAGAGGTGTGACCTTTAACACACAGTCTGGTACTTTTCCTGCCACTGTGGGAGCACAAATTACTTCCCATGCCTCTTCTACAATGAATCTCTCCCTGTTTCTCTTGCTCTTAGTACATTTTCAGTGTTTTTTTCCCAGCTGTGTGCAGAGTATCACCTCCTGAAAGGCATTCTGGGAAACACAGATAATCACTAAGTTTAGGTAAACCAAAAAGCAAAACAGCATCTACATTGATGATGCATAACTACAGAGTAAATCTTTTCTTTTCACCCCTTTTTGGAAATTATAAGATAAGAAATCATAAGCTTTACTGACTGAATATTTTATAGATACTGAATGATAAAGCAGTGCTTTATTATTTTCAGAGTGGAAATGGTCTTTCTTCTCCCAAGGAATTATATAATAATGCAGTATGGGTTATTATTACACTTTCAGCTACATCCACCAGCAGCCAAGCTCGTATTCTTCTCCATTGCTTTACTGGAATTTGAATATAAAAATTGGTGCAATTAACTACAGTTTTCATTCTTTAAAATGGTTGGATCCAAAAAAAACGTCAGAAAATAGCGAAAAATTGCTATCACAGTTTTCCAGTTGATATGATTAAACTGAGGTAGTTTGTCAGAATAACAATTATAAAAGATATTGAGACTAAGACAAGCAAATATTCACGTTTGAGAAGCTGCAACTGGTAAAGTTTTGGTTATTGTCTAGAGAGTCTTGGGTTAAATGCTAACTTCAGCATGCTAACACGCTCACAGTGACATTTTGAAAATGCTCATGTTTATCAGGTGTGATGTTTACCATCATCTTAGCTTGGTGTGTTTGCAAGCATTTGCTAATTAGCACTAAACACAAAGAATGTCTTTAGTTTAAAGAATGTGTTTATAAAATTTTATGTCGTAGCTGTTGAGACATTTCACCGAAAACCATAAATATCGACCTGATGATGCTGCTGGGGGAAATGTGGGTTCATCATCTGAGGATCATGAATGTTTGTACAAAATTTCCTGGTAATCCATCCAATGGTTGTTGAGATATTTCAGTGACCGACCATCAGACCAACATTAGCATTCCTAGAGCCACACCACAAACGAGTCTAAAAATGACTGAAACAGTTGCTTCAGCTCTGAATATATATTTAGCTCTCCATGTTTTCACAGACAGTAGGAACCATGGATGATGAAGTTATCCGTCTCCCCGTGTTCCTCTGCTGCGGGACGCCGAGATACAGATGGCCTCTTTCTGCTTGTTGCTCCTGAAAATCATCCTTCTTATAATCTGTCCATTAATCACAATCATAATCGGCAGGTGAACAGTAGGCTCCAGTAACTGTGCAGCAGTGACAGCTGGATAGTGGAAATGTTCGGTGGGGGCCTGTGAGGCGGAGCTGGGGTGTTTACTTGTTTGTGCAGGGGAAGCTACTGCACAACCGGAGCCAAATCTTACCGGACACAATTACCAAAAGTCTTACCAAGACAAAAAAAAAGTCAGAAATGTTCTTTTTGGTGAAACTGGGATGCACAGCTACAGTTAGAGGGGGGTAAACAGCAATGTAAGGGGGTAGATTTGCCCCTGCGCGGAGCCCGTAGTCCATGTGCACGTCTGAATGATGATTAACTGTAATTACCTAAGCAGTACCTGGCCTGCATGCCAGGAGGCAGCCCAAGATTAATGGGGCTCTGCTGAAAACGGAACAAAAGCTCACATTTCCAAGGTAATGAATCGCTCTGGTACTAAGGCGTCTTCACATGGTGCGCCTGGGCCCCCAGGGAGGTTCATTACAACGGGAGGAATAGATGGATCCTCTGCAGCATTTTCAAACAGGCAAAGCAAGCAGGCGAGCAGGAGGAAGTCTTAAATCGTCCCAGACATCCTGGTTGCTACACAGCCTCTATAACCAGAAGAGAGATAAACAGCCTCCTCAGTGCTTCTTAAATGGGTGGTAAACATTACACAGCAAACTGCCTTGTTTGCCTTGTCTCACTCATACACAAGGTGCTTCAACAATAAAGCTTGGCGCTGTGCAAACTGGTTAAGTAATGAAGATAAATTTGACTAGATTGATGCCTTTAAGGACTGAGTGACAGAAATCTGCAGTGAATCATTGTTCCTTACCCATTCATAAACTCCAATCCTTTTTAATAGAACACTTTAACTGAGCTGACACGCCACTCAGCATTATCTGTATTAAAGGAAGCAGGTTTCATTTGTACAGGAAGCACATAGTTTGGCGAAGCCTGGAGGGCAAACTTTTATTACAAGTGTCTCCTGTTATAAATCACTGTCCGAGGAATAACCTGCAGATTAATGGCAACATTATTTCATTCAGCGTCGTAGAGGTTAATCTACGTTTTTTTTTTGAGAAATGAATGACACAAAACGGAAGAAAGCCACTTGACAAAGTGTGAAAGAGATTTGGCATTAAGAGTTCTGCAGGAACAAGGATGCTGATGTATGGAAATGGACATCAATTATTGGAAGTCAAACTGCTTGAGGCAACAATGAGAGGATTTGCAGGCCGCGACATTTTTCATGCCCTTGAACATGCTACCTCCAGATATGTAGGTCGATAGCGAGATGAAATACAACCTGACTTGTGGTCACGTAAATACTTCAAGGAAACGCAGGTTGAGGCATGCCCAGCTTTGCATCACGTTGTGTGCAGTGGTGCCTTGAAAACCCAAAGGCCCTCTCTGTTTACAAGCCTCTAATCATGTTAATGACACTGCGCTCTGCCATACAGGCCATTTCTCAATCGATCACGGCGACAAAGACCAAAATAAAGTGACAACGCTCAGAATTTGTGCCCGTGCACGTCTGAAGGAGATGAAAGAGATGTGAGATTCAACCTTTAAACTGCCATTTATCAAGGACGACAACAAAGGGAGTCAATGCCATTATCCTCCCTGTCGCCCTGCAGCCGCTCAATGTGGGAACATAAATGCGCACATACATGCATAAAAAAAACAAAAAACCCACACTTGAATAATTTATGCAGATGAAAATAAACACGGGGATGTACATTATGGATGTAGTCCAACAGTTTTATTGAACATACTGTATGTGCAGAAACATAGAGACGTGGGTGTGAAGAGGATCACCAGGATGTTTTTTTAACCCATTAACTTCAACTGTTGTAATCTTTATAGTGTTGCTTAAGCAACTGTTGTGCAATAGTTTAAATGCTTTTTTTCTTGTTCTTTTCAGGCAAAAAACTAATATTTTAAAAGATAAATCTGGTGATATTATATATTTTCTAACCTGTTAGTGTTTTCACTGCTGGCTGACCTCTATTGGCTGCACAAGCTATTACAAATATTACAATAAACCACACTGACTGCGGGTTTGACAATGTTGTTTCAAGAGTTTTTGTTTTATTTTAAGAGATGTTTCAGTAGCAGCATTTGTCTATTAGCATTGTGTAGTTTCCTTTTTATTATCTGATATTCCTCTAGACTATCATGAACAGAGTTAATGGAAGTCAACGGGCGACGGACCCACACAAGTCTATATTAACAGAACTGTAACACAGATGTTGGGTAGTAATTTGTATTGAAGGGATACTCACGTGGTTTTCAAAATCTGATAAACTAGGTTTGTTTATATGAATATTCATAAGTCAAGACAAACCAGCCACATAAACTACAACCCAAAATTATTATAAAGAGCTAAAGAGACGTGATTTGCATCTAAAGTCACAGCTTGTTGTCTTTTGGATAGTGCCTCTTATTTTCAGTATTTCCGAGTTTGTTCGATACTAAATAAAGATGTTTTAACTTAAATAAACACAGATCTGTCCTTTGAATGATGCATCATTATCTCATTAAAATAAAAAGGTATGTATTTTTTTTTTTTACAGCAGTGTGAAAGAGTGACAACTTTTTAATGTTCTGTACAGCAGATTATCAGCATGAGTTCGTCAAGGGGGAGACAAAAGACTCTCCTGCTCATTTCTTAGCATTAGATACTCCGCAAGCAAGGAATGACAGTGTGGACAAAAGACTAGCCATTAATTTATCTTCTCTATATGACCCTGATGCAAATGAGAGAAATGAAAGCAAGCAATCAATTCCCTAATTGGGTTTGTGCTATTTTAACTTGTTAAGGGGGCCTCTGTCTAGATTAAAAGGAAGGTCAATTTCTCATTGTGACAATTACTGTATTCATTTCACAGAACAACAAAGGAATCCAGCCAGGGTTGGGAAGAGACTGCAGAGAACCAGATGCCTCCCCATTGTGTGAGTCCTCCATCACAACATCTTGTTGATCTCAGTTATCGCGCTCTTTACGACCTGCAGACGCCATCATTTCATCCAAAATTATTTATCTACATTTTGAACAAAGCACAATATGGATCACTTTTACAAAACACCAAGATGATCAATAATTTAAAAAGACATTTCTGGGTAAATATGAATGACAGCAACAAACTTAAACATTAATATTCTGAAATTAAATTCTTCAAACGTTTTATCTGGGAAAAGTGAGGATAGCTCTGATGAAAAACAGCAAGAGTGTCTTTTTGTATGTGTTAAAAAAGAAATCTAGAGTATTTCTCTATATCATTTTAAATAAATTCAAGCTTACGGGAAAGAAAAACACACTATTAACTATTAATTAAGATAGAAACCCAAGTAATCATCTTCAGGACTGTGTGGGTGTGTTGTAATCACAAGTGCACGTCCAAATGATGATGCCTTTACATTGCAATGTCCCTGCAATCATTTTGAGGTAAATTAAATGTGGAACAAAAACAACAAAAACTTTGGTGTGTTTCTCCAAAATCCACACACTGACCTGTTTGAAGTGTCACTCCTTTAAAGAGGACAGTCAAACAGCAGCAGCTCTGCAGGAGAGGTTATGAGGTTCGAGCAGAGGCCTGTAAGCTGAGCAGCTGCAAACCTGCAGTGGAGCATTTATTTTGGCTTCCTGAGAAGCAAAACAGACTGTTGATATACAGCGTGACTCAGCTACTCCCTCTTGTCACATCAATAGTTTATTTACCAGCGGAGGGAAACCACAGAATTAGAATAAAAATTTGATTATGTACCCCTGCGCTAAAAGAATTCAATTACTGTGACTGAAAACGTCTCAGGAGGAGTGAGGAGGGTTTTTGCTGCATAGTCATATATCACAAAGCAAAGAGTGGGAGAGCAACATGTCATGTCCGCTTTTTAATTTCTGTTACTATGCCCCCCCCCCCCTCCTGTTGGTAGGGAGAGAGAAAAGAGAAATCTGTTAAAAGCTCTACAAACCAGGCAGCCTTTTAACAAGATGCACTTAATCTTCCTGGTGTTTGCTTTGGTTAAATAAGGGATTGGCTTCGTCCGGCCCAGAGTGGTGGGATGTTGATTCCAGCCAGTTTGTGAACCGTAAGCTCTTATCTGTCTTTATCTACATTTGAACAGGTTTCTAGTGGGGCAAAGCCAAGCAAACCAATAAGATTAAATATAGACCCATTTTGTAGGTTGGTAATATATCAACCACATGTCCCAGTGCTGCCTATGGGTTCAACCAGAGTTCATGTTATTAGTGTTACAGGCCTTTCATGCTCTCAGATCTCACACAGATCAAAAGGGCTTTGTGAGGTATGCCACCATCAGCCAATTAATGCCCACTAGTACAGCTGCTCTGCCTGTAAGGTCGAGACTAAGCGCTTTTCACAGCTAAAACGCCTCAACTTTTTTTCTCTGCTCCAACCTCGTTTTTAGGTAATTATTCAGCTCTTTGGGAGGGTTTTGTAATTCACACCCCAAACACTGCGTAACAGGAGTCACTACAGTGACCTTGAACTGTTTGAGTCAAATAACAAACCTGCTGGGCTTTAGCAGAGAGGGATCTACACAAATCCCACCCACATTAACGGCGAGGAGACACAGTCAGGGAGAATGAAACGAGGCATTTTAGGCTTAGAGGGACTCGCTTAAGATAAAATCTCAGGGACAATAGTTACTTTTCAGGCTTTTAACTGGCACTCTAAAACTCAGGCTAACCTAAGACTGGAGGGCTTCTCACTCAAGGACACTGCAACAGGATACACAGCTGCTGCCCGGATTAATCTGGTGGTGTTTTGGTGATGGGACGGCAAAGAGCCACAGTCTCTCTCACTCTCAATTCCTGCCTTCTTCTTCCCTCACAGTGATATCTCAAATTATACCGAGGTGCACACTGAGGCTTGAATACTCCTGCTCATGAATCGTGCTTTAGCCTTGAGACTGACTTCATTATTCTGTGTAGTGAGTCATATCCAGGCTTATCTATACTATTCCACCTACTCCCAGTCTTTGGTTTTGTACTGTATATATATTAATGTGCATGACATGACATTAAAACACTCACAGTTGAGGCTTTAATTCCCTCTGGGCTCATCCGTGATAAAAACTGCAGCCATTGTGCTACTAAAGGGCACTTGTTGTACGACAGATTGTGTCCAAACATCACTCAACTTAAACAGATCAGATCCCAGACTGGGCAATTCAAAATTTATACATAACGCACACAACTGAACCATTAGTCACCCCACACACAAAACAAACCCAGCAGTCTTATTCACAGATTCAAAAATTAAACATGGCACAATAAATGTGCCTACAGCATAACTACTCATCAATCACAGCCTTTAAAATTAAAGCAGAACAGTTTCTTTCCCTAAAGTTAAGGGATAAAAGCAATGCTGCCACCTGGTGGTGACTGAAAGTCAACAGAAATATCTGTTAATTCTATTTTCAAAATGCAATGAAGTAAAAAGCAGGAGTTTTAAACACAATCTTTAAACAGATCAGATCATAAATAATCCCTGACAAAATTGCAAAGGAAGCTTGATGCACATATTAAATGTATCTATAAAAAGGCACATGAATTATTACTATAATACAGTAGCATTGATGCATTTTGGTGTGTCCTTTGTATTCATGCAACAGTGGTGGGCCGTCAAAGTGCAAAAACTTTCGAAACTGCAACAGAATGTCAAACACAAGTTTTCTTTTTTTCTTTTTCTTTTTTTTTTGCAGTCGAACCGTCACAAGAACCAAAGCCAAGAGCAAAACAGAGGCAACTATAAACAGCCCGGGTTGGCACCACCACAGTGTCAAACCTCAGCTTTTTCTTGGCATTTTTGATTTCCTACATGTTGATATGACCCAGTCGACCGGTGAATTTCTCCTTGTCGATGTTCTTGTGCTCTGGGACGTGTCTGAAAGTGCAATCCGACCTCGTGCAGCCCGTGGTCCTCCAGAAAAAGCACTCCTTCTTGTATGGGCTACAACAACAACAACAACAACAACAACAGGGGAAAAAAAACAAAAAACCTGTCACTTCAAGATTAAATTATAGGGATGTTTTACAGGATGTCGGGAGTAGAAGGTTCTTCTTTAACTAATAATGGAAACAGCTGAGCAGAATAAGTAATATGGACAGGGAAAGTGTAATATTAGATCTAATATACTTCATATCAGTAGTATGTTCTCAGAACAGCTTGGCCAGGACAACTACTACTGAGTACTGCAGTGTGAATGCGATCTCCATCCACTGTGTTTCAAAGTTGTAAAAAGAATATTTTTTAAAAAATTATGTGAAGTTTGGGACATTTAATCATTTTACACTTGACAATGAGTAAAATCTAAGAAACAAAACAAAACAAAAACAAAGTGAAAAAGTTCTTACCCAGGACGTGAAAAGGGGTCGTTGGCAGCTGATTTGGACATGCCCAGTCCATTGTGGCCTCTACTGGGATATCTTACAGCTAGTGGAGCCCCTTCTACCACCATTCCCTGAGGAGGAGACAGACAGTTAACATCTGCAGAACTTCATAGTCGGCGTACTTGAACATGTTTGTAAAAAGTAAAACTCCTGGCCAGACATGGAAAAAATAATTAGCCATTTCCCCAAAAATAATCTTGCAATTATTTGGTCTATAAAATATCAGAAAATAGCAAAAACCAGTTTCCCAGAACCCAAAGTGACGTCTTTAAATATCTTCTTTTATCTGACTAAAACCAAAACCAAAAGACACTAAATTTATTAGAATAAAAAAAAAAGAAAAAGAAAAATTACTTTAACCTTTAATCAATTCTCATAATAGTTACCAATTTATTTTCTCTTTACTAATCAACTGGTTCACCACATTTCCTTGTAAGGTGTAAAATCACTGTGTCAAAAAACACAAGCTTTACATGAATGTGTGGTTTATTTTTCTAACACCTATTCGAGCTGTTCCGAGCAGGCTGGAAAATGAGAAGAAACTCTGCAGAGAAACAACAGATTTATGTCAAGATTGATTTCTGCACGACGGGAAATAATGCTACGGTTTTAGAGAAGCAGACAAACTTTAAAGCAAGAAAAACTTTACAGAGTGAAAGCTGCAGTTGTCAGTCACGGCTTTAATAACATACAATCAAAATATCTTTCTCCAACTTCCTGCTCTACTTAGATACCTCTACAATCTGCCAAGTTGTGAACGACCTAAGATATTTTCTGGTTTATGTCTTTACTTTGCATTTTCTACAGGAATATTTTTCATTCGTCTGCGACTTCAGTGCCTTTGAGTGTCATTTCTAATATCCAGGGAATCTACGCATTTTTTAAAAAAAACATTTACTTTGTGGCTCCAGCTGAAAAGTTCGACCTTGGTCACATGAACCACTCCCTAGAGGAACATTATGACTTAAAACAAGAACTATTACAACATGACATGACATGTTCTACTGTTCTTGCTGACGAGTCAGACAAACAAACATAATATATCAATGACGCCCTGTTCAAACTAGATTAAGGCAGATCTATGGGGGTAATTTTCATTACAGCCGAAATAAACAACTGTTTTTCTGCAAAGCCATCAGGAGAGGAAGACCCCTTAAAATATCATGAAATATGCTGTTGTCATCTCGGCCAATTTCCCGATGGTTAAAATGCCATCCGAAACAATGAGTTAAATTATTCCCCACCTCGCCCTGAATGGGGCTTTAGTAAATAAACAAGACACTCACATTAAAACACTGAATGGCTCTGTCACAGTCTTCCTTTCTTGTGTAGTTCACAAAGGCACATTGATGTTCCAGCAGCATCTTGATGCTGTAGACTGCCCCGACTCTGTGACAGAGAGAGAAGGGAGAGTGTAAATACATGAACTAAGCAAACAGAGATGAAGAGAGAGACATGAGATTCAACAAATCCAGGAATTTAAGCTTCACCCGTTAAATACCTGAAGAAGAATCTGATTCTGACAAAATGCTGAATGAGATCTTAAAACAAAAAACATGCTCGGAGGCGTGAAGCAGCTCAGACTGAGGTACGTCACCTGCTGAAGAGCTCGTGAAGTATTGCGTAGGTGACAGCAGGAGCCAAGGATCCAACCCAAATGGAGAAAAGCTCCCTTCATGCAAAAGAGAAGAGACGAAACAACAACAACTTAAAATCATGTTGCACTCTGGGTACATCTCAGCAAATCACCCTGAACACTTTAAACTCAAATATGCGATCACTGCGAAAGGGCGGTCACTTTTAATTCACCTCGGAAATGACAAATCTAGAGCTAAGGCAATGTGATGAATCAGTATTATCTTATGAGTCATTCTTCAAGCAAACTTGCCAAACACCCTCTGGTCCCAGTTTGAACGTCTTTGTACCGTTAGTCAGAACAAAAACGAGGAATGCGAGGTTGCTTTAGGATTTAAGGGCATTTTTCTACATGTTCTTAAATTTACGATTAGTTTATGATTGGAGGATAAAAATACACATTAATAACAAACCACTGAACTTACGGTTTCACAGAATTCCTTGAATGAGGGGTTGGCGACTGAGATTTCGATCGGCTGTGGACCAGGGCGTCGAAATCTCTGACCTGCTGCATTCGAGGACGGCTCGCTTGTAGGACAATCCACTCTCCCTCATCCTCAACTTCTTCCTGCACCACTGGTTGTTCTGCGTTGTCCCAACTGGCACCGGCGTCTGAAGAGAGCAGACAGTGAAAGAGCTCAAGCACCAGGACGTCATTCACAGCTTTCATCTTTGAGAAGCATTTTGTGACATTTACCTGGAGGACACTGGTTACTGTCGCCAGCAAACAGAGCGTCAACGGCTTCCTCTAATGTGGCGTGAGCTCTCAAGGCCTCGGTGCTCTGTGGCCAGGTGAAGCCCATTTCCTAAAATGGAGATGCAAAGACAATCTCTTAGGCTGATGAGATACCAGCATACAGACATTAAAGCCACAAATGAGTTTTCCTACCATGAGGTGCAATGTCTGCGCTCGTTTGAGCTCTTGCGTGGCTTCAGCGCTCGAACTGTCCAGATTCAACACCTCCCTATAGATCAGCGAGGCCTCATAGTATTTCTGCAGAAGTGAAGGAAGGATCACAGGATTGGTAATGTTGGGAAATTACACTGCAGAGACTACAAAACAAAAATCTGTGAGATGAAAATAAATGTATTTAGTAACAACCTCACAAAAATCCACCTTATTTCGTAGCCCCATGTAACCTTGCAGGAAGTATGTAGTTGCAGGCGTCTTCATTTCTTCAAATTATAAGTGTGAACGCATATTCATATGACGTACTTCTTTCAAGGCTCTGATAATGTCGCTTGTAATTAACAACTTGGCCCCTTTCACATGAACTCACTCGTAGACCAGATAGGTAAACCCCAAGTTAACTGAGCCAGTTGATAACTGGCTTTGTGAGACTGGTTTCCCCACTCAGACTTGTGTCAGGTTACATTCCTGTTTAGCCACCAAAATCTAATCAGTTAGTCCCTGAGTCCAGGTGAACGTTTTTCCTCAAGGTGTTACGGAGATATTGGGCTCACAAGGTCAAAACCACGATTTGTGAGGTCACCGTGACCTTTCATCACCAAAATCTAATCTGTTCATCCTCGAGTCCTAGTGAATGTTTGTGCAACATTTGAGGAAGTTCCATCAAGGCGTTATTATAAAATATCGTGTCCACGAGAATAGGACGGACAACCCAAAAACAATATGCCACTGGATCTGACTGTTGTCGGCACGGAGGAATAAAAATCTCCAAAAGAAGAAGACATCTGTTAAATAACGCTAAGTTTGACAGTTTTGTCAGGACTGTAGATTTTATAGGTGCGTTTGTAAAAATGTCGAGCCACTTGCAACATTTAGAGAAACTATAAATAAAAAGAAAACATTACAAGTATTCTAAGTATCTGGAAGCAAATAATAAAAAAACAGTAGCAGTACATGGAAAGCAGTGTTAACTGGATGCAGGTGCAGTGATTTACCTTGAGCCCGCACAGAGCTTTCCCCTTCCTAAATAAACCTTTTATCCAGTTTGGCTCCATGGAGAGTGCTAGATCAGCATCCCTGAGAGCGTTTTCATACTGCTGCAGTCTTTCATAACAGAGGGACCGATTTCCAAACAACCTGAAACACAAGTCATGAATAGTCACTGCTGCTTCTAGGTGCTTTAAAAATAGAAAAAGGCCGAAGTCAAATTAAGTCCACCTTCTTACCTAAATTCCTTTGGGTTGAATTTAATTGCGTCTGTAAAGCACTTCACTGCCATGTCATACTGACGAGAGGCAGCCAGACGATTTCCTGTAGCTGGAAGGAAGAGGAGGCACGGTGGTGCCGGTTGAGTCAGGACTTTCACATGTTTGTTTTTATTTCAAAGTCACGATAAAAACAAAATGTTAATGGAAACTGTAACTTACCAGCCAGTTCTCTGCTTCTTCTTGCATACTCCTCTGCAGTTGGATCTATTGTTTTCTGAAAACAAAAAAAAACAAAAAATGGTGTTAGTCCATTAGTTTGTGAAGCAAGGCAAGCACCACAGGAAATGGTGAATTTGCATGTTGCTAAGTAACCAAGTCCAACTGGTTATTATTCATAAAAAAGGTATATTTAAGTGTCAGACTTGTATAGGAAAAATTGGGTTCTTGTTTTTCTGAGCTGATGATAATTTAAAATATTTATTTATCTTTTTTATTGCTATAATAGGTAATTGCTATGTACCAGGAAACACAATCGCAGTAAGAATTCAAAGTAGGTTTATGAATTTCAGCAACTGCCGTTTTCAGTGTCCCCACCTCTTTACTGGGTTCATGTTTCTCCTCCTGATTCTTTTGGACTTCAGGTTTTTCCACAATTTTTGGTTTTTCCTCTTTGAGCAGCTGAGTTTCGGGTAATTTACTTTTTTCCTTTTTTCTGTCTTTTGCAGGCTTTTGGTTACACGTCTCCTCAGGCACCGATTTAGCAGTAGAAGCACATGAATTATTTAAATCCAAATCCTGTGGATGATAAAACAAGATGGTTATTTTAGGATAATCCTCTGTAAAGCACTCCTTATGAAAAAGTTGTGAAATCGTGATAAAGAATAGACAGCACTACGTCTAGATGCATGGATCTGACAGAAACCACAAACCAGATTCAGACTGACTACTGAACACACTCCATTTAGTGTTGCCTACTGAATTAAACCTCCAATTCTGCACATAACCTCACTTATTCTCTAACCACATTCACACAATAACAATATTAGTGTGGAAACATTGTGGGATATAAAACAACACCAGTAACAGTGCTGAAACACAAAAAGTTAGACATACACCAGGTGACCATTCAGCCTCACTGGATTATAGCAGGGCAACTGCCGTAGACCATCAGGGACCCCATATTCATTGTGTGTCAGTTTTTTTATTATTATTTATTTCTAATTTATTGGAAATTACACTCAGTGCAGTGGCCATTTTATTAGGTACACCTGTGCAATCTTTTACAATTTAGTAGATTCTGTTCAAACTGTAAATTCAATTGGTTGCTAATTACTGGAGGTTATAGTCAGTGATAGTGTTTTCCTGGTGTTTCCAATTTTTATCCTCCTTATTTGCAAACATTAGAGGGGCAGAATATAAGGAAATAAATAACTGTTGAGGTATCATGTAATTCACTATACTATTCACAGTAATATACTTTTTCCTGTCTTTTCTTCATCAGTACATTAAAAAGAAACCCACTGTAATTTTGTTCCACAATGTCACACAAACAGAAATGTAAATTATTCACAAACCTTTTGCTCCTCATCTTCTTTCTTATTCATTTTCACAAGATTTTCTTCTTCTATATTATTACCACTGCTTCCGTCACCTCCAGCAGCCGCGGGTCCATTTTGAGTTTTACCACATTCAGGAAATTCATTTGCTTCTGCATTACTTTCAAAAATAGGATTTTGTTCCTTATTTTCTGAGGAGTCGGACTTGCCTTGTTCTTCCTCCTGAAATAACCAAAAAATAATAATGAAAAAAAAATTACATTACAAACGATCAGAATGGCCTAGTATAAGACTTGTTATCTATTGTAATTCACAGCAATGAATAAAACAAGACTTACAGGTAAAATGTCTTTAGATGCATTCTCCTTCTCTAGTCGTTTCTTCTCTTTTTTACGCTATAACAGAAAGAAGACAAATCTGTTGTGAGGCGCTGTCAAAAGAAAAACATTCATTTAAACATCTGAATTAAATCAACACTGACCATTTTTTTACGCTTGTTCTTCTCTGTTTTCTCCTTACGCCGCTCCTCTTCTGCTATCAGTTCCTTTGCATGTTTATCAGCCTCCTGAAACAAACAAACAAACAAAATCTGTAAATTAAGACGATGTTCAAGAAATTCACAAGATTAATTTAAAAGCAGAAGTGCATTACCTCGTCAGTGAGTTGTGTAATTCGCGGATGTGGTGCTAAAGGCCTGTGAGCAGCCATGTGTGAATAAAAAGAATCATCATCATCTTCATCATCGTCCTCGTCGGAATATATGATGTCGTCATGCAGGTCGTAGGATCTAAAATCTAGACCTGACAGACAAACACAGAAATTTATTCTAGTGAAGATGCACATCTGAACCCCAAAGAGATTTTGATCACAATATTAAAAAGAACAGGGTGAAAAATCTGTTTTATCTCAGTATGGTCATTAACTCTTCTCAGCCTGAAAGAGCTTGGTGGATAATGGCAACAGTACTTCATCTAAACAGCTTATTAGACAGTCAAATGGCTTCAGAAACCTGCTCCGCCCTCAACTTTCCACCACTGGATTAGGAAGAGGCTGGATTAGACCGGTGACTCTCTGAAGTCAATTTGACCGTCACCCTGTGACTGTTGTGGAGGTGAGAGGAGCCAGGGTTTGAATTTCTCTCAGTAGCTCAACTATTTGTGTCACTTTTCATTCGAACAACCAAGTTCCAGGTGGAGACTGTAAATGTGAAACATTATCTCCACAATCAAACAATGTCATATCCCCTCTGCCTGTGACAGCATGCTCTTCGCTCCACCTTCAAGTGTGGTCGTTCTGAACTATAAACACTTTTACTTTCCACCTAGGTTGGACATGTCACACAAACTAGTCTTTCCTTTGCCTTCGTCTTCTGACTTACATTCTCCAAATGAAGTAGGATTTCAGTAAAAGCCACAGGTTAACCCATCTCCTCTGTCTTAACTAGGCCTTTCTCAATCTTGTGCTGTAGTGAAACGACATCAGTCACAGCCAAAGTACCGTTTCAATTCAAAGTCCACATCTAGAAAAAGTAAAGATAAGTGTTTTTGCTCCACCCTTTTTATTGAGGATACTTTAGGAGCTCCCTCTTTGGACTTTATAAAGTCCTCCCCCAGGTGAAAAACTCAATATTTGCATTTCGATTATGTGGTTCATCTATTCAAATAATGTCTGTTCGGAAATGTGTTTCAGTGCTTTCATAGATGTGAGGACCCAACAAGTGGGCGAGACCAGCCAGTCATCTCATTAGCTAGCAGCCTGGCTCCAGAGATGACTAAACATTAACAGCCTATTAAGAAAAAGCCTTACCAAATAAACCAGAGGTTAAGACATTCATGATGGAGTCATTAGGATGACGTCCATTTATATAATCCACCATTGTTTCCTGAAATGAAGAAAGATCAACAACTTAAAATTAATCCATCAATGTAGAGTTCAAACAACCAGTTGATTATTTATTTTGTGACTGTACCCATGCTGTACACACACTAAAGGCTGTCTCCTGAGTAAAATTGTTAACTGCTTCCTGCTTCAACTGTGTTTCCCATCATTTTATGTGTGTGAAGCTATTTTTTGCAGTTACCATACGAGCTGGTAGGTGATACTGACATTGTAATGTTGAGACAGATGTGCGCCTGGATTTAGATTTTTGTTATATTATAATTACAGGGTATATTACTACTTGATTAGTTGAACATCAAGAAACTCACCTATAAACTATCAAGCAAAAATACTAAATATTCTCAGCTTCTCAAACATGAGGACTTGCTGCTTTTCTGTTTCTTTATCTTTGAATTTTAGACAGTTTTGGACTTGAACTTCAGGGAATCGTGCTGAACATGTCAGTTTTCTGACATTACATAGACCACACAATCAATTACCTGTTAGTTGCAGCTAGAGCTGGAACTATTAGTAGATGAATCAAGAAAATGAATCATCAAGTATGTTGATAATAAATTTCAAACATAAAAATGCTGGACATTTACTGGCCCCAGCTTCTTAGATATGAAGATTTGATGCTTTTCTTTGACATACATGATAGTAGATAGAAAAGACACCCGAAGACAAAAATTTAATATTTTTGGATATTAAATACACCAAATAATAAATTATTAAAAAAGAGAATAGGCCCTACTGATAATGAAAATAATGATCGTTTCCCGCCTTAGAGCACTTGATAAAACAGAACTTTACAACAAGTGAACTCAATATAAATTTAATAAAACCTGATTTTGAGTCCATCTACAAGACCAACACTTCAAGATGGAATATTGGTCAGTTCCACTAACTACATGCTCTCCAAAAATGATCATAAAGTTGAATCAACGCCTCTTTAACACAGATTCTACAACAACTGAACATTATTGCCTTCATTAAGGGAGGACAGACTAGTTTTAGCCAGGTGTTCCTAATAAACTGACAACTGGATGTAATTGGTGTTTTCCTAATTACGTATACAGATTTTATTATTAACTGCTGTGAAAATATGCTGCCACAACTGGCAACTATGGTCTCTTGTAGTCACATCACCAATTGTGTTAGTAAATGAGGACCTTGTTGGCACGTTATCAGCGGCGCGCTCAAAACCGGAAATACCTGTTATGCCACAGCATTAAAAAAAACATAATCTAAGTTTTCAGGTGCTTGAATCATACTCACGTGGGTGCGCATAAGTCTCGAGTTTTCTCGAATTCTCTGTATAGGAGCACCCCCTGACAGGTAGAGACAAGACGTTGTTAAAATACATAAAAGACGTGTATTTATGACTCGTGACTGTAACGTCACAAAGCTACGGTTGGCACAGTTACATTATGACTGATTTGGTGCCACAATGTAAGCTAGCTAGCTGGAAAGCTACCTTGCGACACATTTGCTGATATAGGTCGAGTTCTCAGTAAATGAAACTGAGCGATGAATGAGCTATAAAGCTAACAAATTACAAACACTGTTTTATTCTCACCTTTTACAATGTCCTTCCTTCTTGGCATGATGTTTAAGTTATTTCTCAGCTGTTGGTTTGTTGCTCGGTGTGTTGGTTATAGTATATCGATGACTATTTCCTTCTCCTTTCCGTGTTTGATGTTTTGAGTTTTTATACCCTGATTCAAACCTTACAGGCTTTATAAAAGGAGCGTAAATATCGTCATTGGGCTTTGTTCCAGTTCAGTGTTATGATTTGATATCTATCCTGTCAATCATGGTAAAGTAGGCGGGATTTGAATGCGGTGTTCTGAGTGTAAAAATAAAAGTCTGACGTGTTTAGGATTTTTCATCGGATATATCAAGTAACTTTTAACAAATATTGGACATGTTTTGAGTCGATGTTGAATTATGTTGTTATTTCTGTGGATTAAGAAAATAAACGATTAACTTTTTTCATTTCTGAGCACCCGATAAAGCTGCAATAATGTGTTATGTTGTATTATATGTAAACGTTTTTCTAATATTTTTGCCCACCATTAAGTTTTGTTCAGCAGTGTTTGAGGACCATTTTTTAAATTAACATTCATATCAAATGACACCACAAACTGCTTCCTCAAAAACTGTAACTGAGAATCCACACAGAGTTTCCACCTAAACTAAATACCTTCCTTGGTGACAGGATTTATTGCTGGGCTGTAGTATTGGATAATGTCAGATTGCACTGGACTTTCTATCTAGTCAGTCAGGGTATTTAACCATGAGCAATGTACTGACTGTAAACTATAAAACAACTATAAAAGCACATACAATTACAACAAAGTGACCTTAAGCAGGTAAAAAAAAACAACCAAAAGTAACACAAAACGACTGTAGTGACATGCCAACTGATCAAAAAAGGGTGGACGGGGTGAATTCCCACCGTTTTTGAACTTTTTAAATACAGGAAGTGATCCATCTAATCACCATACGATCTATGGGGTTCTTCAGTTCAAATCCCGTCTCGCGCGAATACATCCTAGCAACGCTTCTTGGATACAAGCTGTAGGAAGCGCGCTCACAGTGGCGGACTGACCACAACAACACCAACATGGAGCTTCCACAGGTCATTTGTGTAACTTTAACCTGATTCCTGGTGTAAAAATTACGTTATGCTGCGTGTTTGTCTCTTCCTTCGGTACGCTTTCACAGAAGTCTGGCTAAAGTTTACCCAGCTTTGGCGGTTGTAGGCGGCTAGCTAGCTGCTAACCGCTTTGCTAAGTTGTTAGCTAATGTATCGGCCGACAAACAAACGGTTAAACTCTCAAACGTTTTCTCATTGTCGGATAAAATATTGCGTTTCTATTGTCAGTAATGATGGTAGCACGAATGCCTGGCAGCTACTTAGTTGCAACATAATGTTAACGTATGCAATTTGTACTAAGCGTAGTGACGTGTTTATCAGCAAGCTAACTAACAGTAACCTGTTGCCTCTAGCTAACTTATTGCTATACTTATCAACGAGTTGATTGTGATTTATGAAAAAATGTAGTTAAACTTTTGAGAAAGTAATTTATCCTCAACTTGTGGTACTTGTAGTGTTTAGAAGCTCTTAAAAAGTCTTAAATTTAACTTTGCAGAAACCCAGTGAGATTGACTTCCCTTTAGCTGCATTTGACAGTTGCTTACTACAGTGATCTGGCAGTCTCCACTCTTCTTGAAGACAAAGTTAATCAGCTTCAAAGAATGACAGTTTTGTTTTTGTTTTGTTTTTTTTTGTTTGTTTTTTTTACAAATGGCACTGAAAAAGGGAAAGGGTGGTTACAAACTGAAACTAACAATGAAGGGATACAACAGATACTTACATTATAGACAATAGGTGTGTGATGAATGCTGTCAATTGGCATTCAACCGAATAAGGCTCTACATTAGTGTTTTTATTTGTGATTCAGTTCTTCATGCATGATGCCCTTTCCCATGGAATAATTATATTATTTTGTCTGCTACCATATCAAAGCAATTTAAATTACATTTGTTACAAGAATGCCTAAACAGATAAATGAACGATCAGTTGTTGATTTAAGCCTCCAAAAGAAACTGTTTAACAGTTTTCTTGTGTTTAAGGTTACAAGGCAGTGTTAAATGGCACAAGAGGACAGTAAGTGAGTTACTTTGTTTGGTTATTCGGTTCACAGAGGGTGGTGGCGTCTCCTCAGTTGCCAGCAGATAAAGATGGCAGTCAGTCTGTTGGACAGTCATCCATAAACCAACTGGGACCTCAAAGTCATCGCAGTGCAAGTCAGGACCAGAGGCAGCCCATGCTGTCAAGAAATGACTTGGAGCTACAACAGCTGGGGAGACACTCTTTGGAGCTGCGTAAGTACTTAAAAAAACTAAAACAATGAATTTCACTCTCTCTTCTGCTTTTTTTGTTATATTGATTAAGTGATGCAGAATTGATGTACTACTCGAAATCTGCGGTTTTGACTCAGAGCATAAAATATACTTTGGTATGTATTTATGTAAATATTTTTGTCTACTTTTATGAAATCTATGTAGGTATGGAAAATCATGTTTCAAGTTGTCTAGTTAATAATACATCACACTGGATCTCATGATTATGGGACATTTGAGGCACTGAGGGCTTGCATAAATTAAGTTTAAAGGATCTATGTTACAGTTGTAAGTTGTATGCCTGTTTATGGTGCCTTTGGATAACATTCAGCAGTTTCTGTATCATCAGAATTTCAGGACAGTAACTTGTCTCCAGCCCTTTTGCTGTTGCCTGTAAACGCTGGAATGGAACACAACTTTGCTGAATATTCTTTATTCCAACAAAGTGACCATGAGTTTGCCCCTTTAAGGTAAAATTAATATCAATTAAAAGCCAATTATGCACAATGTGTCATTTGAATGATGGGAAGTTAAGATTTTTTTATTTATTGATTTTGCTTTTTCAAGGGCATACCCAGACATTTCCATGGCATCAGACAGGTTTCACTTTCCACTCCAGGATGCTACTACTCAGGCCTCTGAGCGTGGCTCACTGTCCCAGCACCCTTTGGCTCAGGCAACTATCCTTTCTGAAGAAGGAGCAAGCGGCTGCTCTCTGTCCCAGCACAGTTTGTCACCAGGGGATGAAGGCAGACGAGAGGAAATAGTTCATTCCCTACTGACTGCCACCACTGACAGACAGGGAGGACCATCCAAAGATGATGCAAGTAGCAAAGAGAAAGTCTCGGTGACACTTACTAACACTCTAGACAAGCTAGTAGGAAAGGCTGTAGAAGATGAGACCTTCTTTCTGAATAAGGATATTCCTGCCCAGCAGCTTCTGGAGATCCTTCAGAAAGATGTTGGGATGCCTAGTAGCAGTAGTAGTGCTGTTTCCTCTGCTTCTGAGACATCTGTGAAGAGCATTGCATCTTTTTCCAAAAACTCTAAAAGTAGCAAAGGCTCCAAACCAGGCATTGACCAAAGCATGGTTAGAAGAGAAGGTCCTCCAGGTGAAGCTTCTCTTCCACAACAACAGACAAAACAACCGGACAGAGTTACAAACCCTGACCAATCACGAACACTGTCATCTGAGGTCTGTAATATCACTGTGGGTTCCCGCAGCACTCAGCCTGATAACAGTAGTGAAGTGTTACACAGAGAGCTATTGTCTGAGGTAGAGAGGCGCAGCAGCCATGAAGCTGAATCTAAAAACCAACAGTGGAAAGGTCCTTCACCTGGTCAGTGTCTCACTCCATATCCCACAGAAACATCTGAAAGCAAGCCAAGTGTAACTCGAACAAATCTGGGTGGCATGCCATGGACAGGGCCGTTTTCAGCAGGGGTTGAACGGGTTCAGAGAGAGCAAGATCTTTGGTCCTCAGGTAACCAAACAGGGATTGATGGGTCCTACCTAGGTTTCCTTCCGCAGTCTCAGTCCACGCCAGGGGTTTTTAAGGCCCCACCCAAATCCAATGTCAAGGCTACATTTGGGCAACTTTCTGCCATAGAGTCCAGTAAAGAGAACTCCTATCAGTCAAGCACAGGGATCTCTCCACATCCAGCTGTTCCTGAGGCTGACATCCATTGCCCAGACACAGCAAATCAGTGCCAAGAGGAACATACCTCTTCAAAAGTCCAGTCTCTTCCGAGTCTCAACTATCTGCAGAAAGTCGACGCTTGGAGGGCAAATCAGAGTTCTGGCAAAACGTCACTGTTTGATAGCCTGGCGTTGCAGGGATTTTCTGGTATCTCTCCCAAAAAGAAAGCTTATGATGCAGTATCTGACACCCTGAATCACATCCTGAGTCAGCAGGCAAGGAATTTACAACAGCCTCCTGTTTCAAGTGCCTCCAATCAGAATGTCATACAGAGCTCCTCTACGGCTCCTTCTGGCTCCTCTTCCCAAAGAAGAGGGGAGGCAGTGGGCAGTGCGCCTAGTGACAAAGATAACACTGGGTCTGCAGCAAGACCCTCTGCCTCACCCTTTGGCAGGTCGCAGTCCCACTCCTCTCTTAGCACAGTTGTCATGTCGGTGCAGAAAGATCAGCAGACGAGACCTGCAGAAAAAGAGAAGAGTCAGACTCAGGATGATGTCCATCATCAGCCGAGTACCACAGCTCAACCCTTACCTCTCATAAGCCTCGGTCAGTTCAGTGATGTGTCAGTTGATAGAGACTTTACTCTTTCAAGTTCCCAAGATAGTTACAACAGTGGAATTAAATTGGGAGCTTCCATTGGAGCCTCTTCAGTCACCAGCCTAGAGGTTGATAATTATGCCCCATACTGGACTTCAAAACTGTCAACACCACCACCTCTGCCCAGACCGCGAGAGCTCAACATTGAAGAACGAATTCCGGTAATTGAATATATAAACTAGTATAGGATTTTTTAAAGATGTGTTTAGGACTGGAACATTTATTATGTGTAATTGTTTTGTTTTTTCAGATTCAAGTTTCAGCAGATAAAAGCATCAACTGCTAAATAAAGATTTAACAGTTTTATTCAGTATACACTGTATAAGTAGGGGAAAAACACTATAGACTTGTATTCTGTATTCTAATGTGGTGATTTGTTTTTCTTGCAGTTGTATCTCCATAATCTGGGTATTGACCAGTCTCCTTCAACAATCTTGACTCCATTTGCGCCCAGAGGGCCAATCAGAGAACCTGAATTCTCTCCTACTGATCTCTGTACAATTAAAGGATCCATTGGAACCCCAACCAAGAGCACACAACCATCTGAAGGTACCTAACCTTAAAACTGACCTTTAAAACAGGAAAAAGAGTAGAAATTTTACTGAATTTTCACACTCCAAAACTATTTCAGTCTACATATTTCATGTTCTTGTAACCACCCCGTCCACATCATGTCACCTGGGCTGAGAATCAGAGATACTACTAAGATGCTACTTGACAAATGTAGCCTTTTATTACCCATAATGAACCAACAAGGATAATTAAAAGAAATACTCTCATATTGTATTTTCAGGTGGCAGTCCTCATAAAGGAGAGTTTTCCAGGTCCAGTATTCTGTCAGTGGACTCCACTGTATCCATACCGTTGAGCCTGGACAGTCTTGCTCCAGCTGTATCCATCCCAGAACACACCAGGCGGGCTTCTCCTTCTACTCCATCAGATACAGAAGCTATTCAGAGTAAATACAGACGGGCACAGTCCTCCCAGCCTGATCAAGACTTCCTCTCCTCCAGACTGCAACCCTGCCAGCAGCAGCAAAAGGACAGTGGTATAGCCGTCAGCCAGAATGCTGTCCAGCTTGGAGAGAGGTTTGACTCTGACCTCTTGTTAGCTACTAAGGTGAGGTGCGGGGAAAGAGACTTGGAGTCACCCTTGCAAATGAGCCATCGTTTGGAGCAAAGTGCAAAAGATCCTTTTATTAACTCTAAGGCCTTGGGGGAGATCCGTAAACTACTCTCTCAGGTGGAGAAAGTGGTGTCTCCTGGGTCTTCCACAGCTTCCTCCGCTTCCCCTGCAGCGCCCCGTCTGCTGTCTGATGATGACATTTTCCTCTCATTGAGGAAGAACACCAGCAGACTCCAGGAGTCCTCATTCTCCTCCTTCTCTGCAACAGACCCCAGAACTCATTCCTCCTTGCTGTGGGCCAGATCCTCGTCCGATTCCATGTTAACCTCAGAGAAACCAAGGCAAAGCTCTATAGGTCGAGAGAATCTGACCTCATCATGGCAACCTGATTATCCATCCACGCAGTCTCTAACCACTGCACCTGCTGCAGGAACATACAAAAGGCTACAAGACAGTGCTGTGAGTAGAGGTGCAGAGACATCTCTTCTTCTTTCCAAATCAGCCCGGCGGGCTGAGCCTGAGGGCTGCAGCGCTGCACCTCCTGACAACAAAGTCCCAACGCAGCCACCAGTCATCAAACCTCTGCCAGCTGTGAGTACACAACAGCTCACCTCAACACCTACAGAGACGGCGGGTGTCCCAGAGGAGGAAGAAAAGACTTCTTTTGGAGGTCCTGTACAGAGCAGTTCCTCATCACCCACCCTGGAGGACACCGATCAGGGAGTGATGAGTGATGGAAGCAGTGACAGTTCACTGGCAGTCAGAGTGGCCAAGTTACTCCAGAGTGAATCTCCAGCCACTATGGTGTCCAGTACACCAAGCATCACTGACCAAGAGGAGAACAAAGCAAGAGGTATGACTGTAGGGACCATGTATTTGATTGGTATGATATTTCTCCGAGCACTAGGGGGTGATGTAAGGCCGAGGCTGGCCACAGAAAGTTTAAGCCCCAAGTCAGCAATCTCAGGTGTTGCTCATTGTAAGGAGGCAAACAGTTTTTGACTGTGCTCGGACAATTTCGTGGTTTTTCTGTTTAACTTTACAAGTCTTATTGGACATTATGGAACACACAGATTGCAGACATCAGAAATAAACACATCACAATACAAATCATTGGTAAGGACTGGATATCATTTCTTAGAGGACATGTCTGAACAAGAGTTGCAGGGAGCAGCCGGTAGAGGCTAAAAAGGACTTAGTCACTACAATGACAATTCAGAGGCTAGCAGGGTCTGATAGTAACACTGAAGACTTAAGTTACAGTTAAACAAAGTTTCTACGTTACTAGCAATTGAATACCTCAACACCAACATCTTTCTTGTGTCTGTTTTTTTGCACTTTCTCAAGCTGTATCCCTGTTGACCACTCTACACTGACTGTGAGCAACTTAGTTCCTGTGTTTAAATTGAAAGTCGTACTTCATCCAGAATCTTTTTATTATATGTTCACCATATAGAAAACTCTCTAGTCGGCTTATAGTTGTGTATTTTACAGCAAAATTCAATAAGTTTTCAGAGCAAAAAGAAATATGCTCAGTATATATTTATCACAATTGTATTTTTGCAGAGATACATGTAACTACACGGCTTCTGTCTTAGCCCTCATGCACAACCATGTCAAGCTCACAAAAACCTCAATAGACCGAGTACTGTCAAGTGTTCTACATCAGGTTAAAAGTATGTTTTGACATTGCAGAGTGGATTAAGATGAAGATATCTGGACAGCAGTGTGAACCTCTGGAGTTGGACCAAGAAGACAGAAAGCGAATTGAAGAGATCAAGAGAGAGCTGCTGTTAAAATACCCGATGAAGGTAAACCACTTATGAAAAGATCTGTAGCACAGCAATCAGTCACTATTAGAAAAGCTTTATTTGCGGCACATTTTTAAGTACAAATGAAGAGTACAAAGCAACATTAATTCATGTTTATGTCACATTCCCTCTTTAAATCATGTAATTTGTATATATTTTGTAAATTAAATTACATTTTTTTTGTCATTTTGATATCTCCCCCTCAATGTCTGGACAGTACAGGTCTCATTGTTAAGGTAACTGATGTGTGTCTGTGGGTGTTCTTTATAAAAGTCCTTTATACAAAACGGTGTGCTGTTAAGGTGAAAACATTAACTTTGAGGTTTGATTGATGTATTGCTTTATTCATTCCCTTTGGACAGTTTCCAGTTCTGGTTCCAGTTTGTTGCTTGCAGTGCTGAAACATTTTAACGTGAATCTTTGTGGCGGATGAATTAATTCACAAACTAGGACATTGCCAGGTCTCATGGTTTGACACAGACTGCTGTTTTTTTTATTTCTCCTTCCAGAGCCAGTTGAGCACAGATACAGAGAGCAGTGCAGCATCCAGTGTAAGAGTCCCGAGGGGGCAGGACCCACCTCAGCCTGCAGAGACATTCACCGCCCACAGTGATGCGAACAACCAGCTGTCACAGCCGGTGCAAGGCCTCAGCACGAACCTCTCAGATTCCTGTCTGCAGCTTCAAAGCTCTCTTCACCCAGATCTAGAAGCTCAAGTACTGAAGATAGCTGCCAGAGAAGGAGTAACCCTCCCTAGAACAAACCCTCGGGCCCTCACATCCATCACCATCGCCACCCGCAAGCGTTCCACCTCACCCTCTCCTTCCACGTCACCTGCTCCTCCCATCAGCCCAGCCCCAGAGCCTCTCCACCTGACCGAGCTCTCCACAGGAACAGTCGAATGTCCTCAGGCTAAAAGGCCCGCTGCTCAGAATGAAGACGATAAGACAACAAGAGAGCCAGAATCAGTGTTTGAACCGAACAGCAGTCTCTACACCAGAAAACAAAGTCTAAATGCTCAGTTAATGTCAGGAAATCAGAAGAGACAAGATGCTGTTGGATGTCAGTTTGAAGAACCTCCTCCACCCTCACAGGGTTTGAATAGAGAGGATGTGAATGCAAAAGAAGACAACACACCGTCTTTTCGGAGAGATGATGAGTTATCCATTCAGGACAGCTCTGTTTCTGGTTCTCATGGAGCTGAGCAAACTGCAAGCTCATCCACATCTGAATCCCCCGCCAGGACAGGTCACGTCTCACATGTCCATCTCACCCTGTCCCCGAAAGCCACGGATCACAACTTGGCGATTGCTGTGCCCCCAAGTCATGCTGATGCTGTTGCGGGGATGCCACGTAGAGAATTTGTTCCGCTCAGACACTCTCCATCTGCTGCCAGCAGTCCGGACGAAGGCGTTGGTTTGTCCAGTCCACCAGAGTGGTACGAGACCCCAGAGCCAAAAAGACAGCAGGGGCATGAAAGAGTGGGCACCTCATCCCTGTTTAAAGCTGCTGTACCTGCGGGGAGAATGGCCTCCACATCCAAACAATCCTTTACACCATGTTACAGAGCTGAAGCTTCTCAAGGACCCTTAACCACTGAATCACCAGGTAGGTTTGTTTTGAAAAGACCTTCTGTATAATATGAATTTACTAAGATAGAAAGACTTTGCTCCTCATTTACCAGTATTATGGGACATAAAGAAAGAAAAGCCTTCATTTATCTCTTAATCACATTGTGAATGAAAATAAATTTCAAACCACAGAGGATAGATGAGAACATCCTGTTTATTCTAACTGTTTAATGAGGGTTAATGACTGCCCCACCAAACTGAGGGTGTGGCAGTGGAGCCAGGGATTAAAAATAGAGGAACGCCAACTAACAATTGTTTTTCATTCCACCTACAGCAGTGCCTGTCCTGCTGCCATATAAACCCCGGGGCAGCGAGGAGCTCTTCTACGTCCCTCAAGCAGAAGCTGACGTCTCCTCTACAGGCCCTTCGGACACCACCATGGAGAGCTCACACACAGGTACATTAAAATTTTATTGAGCTGAAATATAGAGATGACAGCCCGTGTGCTGGAGTTTCATGGGCAAAGACTCGTACCACAACACAGCTGCCCACTTCCCTGTGCATCCTTTCCCCACGGTTGACCCTCTGTTGTATACAGTCATAGGCAAAATATAAATCTTAAAAATAATTGCAAAAATAATAAGTACTCTCTAGAACAGTGCCAGTTTTGTGTCCATTGCATATGGTTTTCACTTCATTTCAGTTCAGCACACAATAAAACAAACTATAAACATAGTTCACCTCAGTCTTTTGGTAATTTTACGGGCAACTGACATTTTGGAGACAAAACAGTCAATCGATTGAGAAAATAATCTGCAGATTAATTGATAATAACTCTCTGGAAATAGCTGGGTTTCTGCATTAATTGGTTATAAAATATTCTTTGATCTTCATATAAATCACGTTTAGACAAACAAAAAAAACTTAAAACAACAGATCTTTTGAGAGGCCTGGTTCACATCAGCAGATTCGTCTTGTACATAGAAACTCAAAATGTTTGAATGTTTGTTTTTTTGTCTTTGTTTCATTGATTTGACTCCAGGTTTCTCCTTACTCCTCTTAGGTTTTGTTGATGAAAATTAGCCTCGAGGTTCACTTGCTTTTTCCAGTGAACTCTGAATGTTTGAATGATGTATTCATTATGGACAAGAACTAAAAATGATTTGTGTGTTATTAGTTCAAATAGATTGTGTTTGTTCAGCATTGTAACTTAGATGAAGGGTCTGATCATATTTTAACTCAAATTTATATGTAAATGCAGGTTATTCCAGGGTTTTAGGCAAATTAGAAACTATGGAATTTATGAGTCCAGAGAATTGAAATGTCAGTTGAATCTGTGATGAAGGGGGAGCCTCTGCGCTCATTTCCCCTGTGCCTGTATAGGTCGCAGCTGGTCTATTGTAACGTACACCGGGCAGCGCATTAATTATTCATGTTCAGGGGCTGGTGAGACAAAGGCAGAGCTGGGGCCTCAGCAGAGACACAGAAGGAAAGGGGGCTGTAGGCTCCATGTCTTTGAACATCTTCTGTTTACCTCTGGCTGAAAATTAAGGATTTTGAGCAGTATTATTTATGTTATCTAGGAAATGAAGACCGTGTTGGTTTAACCTTCTCTGAATAGATCTCATCATGAGGTAACAAACCACTATTGAATTCTGACTAGGCTCAGACGACGCTGTGCCCCCACGCTTCAGCAGTGAGGTCCTCGGGCACCAGGACCCGGGGTTGGACCGTGGAGTCACCATCAGACACACAGAGGGGATCTACAGCAAGAGGTTGAAAACAGCCACCTTCAAAATGCAAGCACCTGGACACAGAGGTATGCTGACCATACAAAATGACAGTATGGCATTAAGGTGTATTTTGTCAAATGCATGCCTGAAACAAGCAGCACTTCATCTGTCATTGGTTAATATAAACATATTTCAGTCTGGTTAAGTTAAATCAGTATAATAGACACATTGTTACACTGTGTTTGGCAAAGCAGACAAATAAAACACTTCTGGGAAGAGGAAAGAAACGGCGATTATTTCTAAAAGCTTTCCAGTAGTTTTCATATTAGAACACGATTTAATTTAAAGGGGAACAAACAAAGATAAATCTTTGTTTGCTACATGCCAAAAAATATTGCCCAGTCCATTGTTTAATAAATTATCAAGTATTTAACAATGGACTAGACAGACGCTATTAAGTCTTTCATTAGAAAAGATTTCTTGTGTATTATTAGCAAAACAGGATACGTTTGAAAAAGTTTGCTCCTCAGTGTGAAACTTGCAGAATGTTTTGTGTGAGCTCTTGTGACAGTAATTATCTGAAGTTAATTGATGAAATATTATTTGATGAATTTTATTTTTGATTTCGAATTGTTCAGTTAAGGATTATTCAAGTATGAAAAAACTGTTTTGTGTCTGAAAAGCAATTTTCTGTTGGTGGTCTGTCATTTTTTTTTGTTTGCCTTTTAAAATGGTTTGAAGTGTGCTTTCATTTACACAGCTTTGCTTTGTTTTTTTTGTTTCCTTTTGTGTTTCTGTGCAGCAATGAATAGTAGATATATTGTTTAAAAAAAAGTCTGTCTGATCCACATTGTGTCTTGACTCGTGTTATGTCTCTCTCGTCATAGGCGCCTCTGTGATAGCAGACAAAAGTTCACAAACAAGTCTGAGCCAAACTCCAAAGACGTCTTCTCAAGTATCCCTTGCCTTTACCAGAGTGCCTTTATCGAGCAACCAAGAATCGTCCAAGAGAGACCGTGGGACCAGCCCACTGCAGTTTCTTCATTATAATCAACCAGAGCCAAGTCGTGAGAGATTTCAGCCAGTTCATGAGGAAATGGATGAAGATGAGGCGAGCCATCACCTGGACCAAAGCCCTGACCCTCAGAAAGGAGGAGAGCGTGACCAGCAGAGGAGGGACCCCGACCTCCCTCACCCTGCTTCCCAGCAGAGCAACAGCAGTCTGGACGAGCTGTGGCAGAGGTTCTGCGATCGGTGGACCATCGAAGAGTCCCGTCCAACAAGAGAGGCATCGCTGCTGGAGCGGCTAGAGCGCCTGTCTCGTCTTATTCAAAGCACCAGGGGCACCGATATGTCAGAATCACAGGACGAGGAATATCATGATCCTTACAGCACAAAACAGAGGCGAGGAAGGAGAGGAGAGGATGCTACAAGGGAAGAGAAAAGGCGGGACGTCAGAGAGGGTAAAAAGAGTTTACATGCTGAGGCCAGAGAGTGGAAAGTCAGAGGAAGTAGAAAATTTGATGAAGAACCTCCCGTCGCTTGTCAGCCCTGGACGCAGAAAACACCTGAACCTTTAGACCAGGACAGTCGCACCTCCCTCACCTCCAGCCTCTCCCACAGCTCCTCCCAGAGTCAGCACCTCTGTCTCGCAGACAGAGACAAGTCAGAGACTTTGTCCACCTTATCCGGCTCCATGTCCACCGTCGACACGGCCCGCCTGATCCGAGTCTTTGGCGCCCACAGAGTCCAGCACCTGAAAACCAGCTCCAGCCTCAGTAAACTTTACGACACGATCAACAAGCAGAAAGATGGGAGGGAGCAGAGGAGAGGGAGAAACAAAGAATCTCTGTCCATCATCACACCATCAGAGACCATCGGCACTGATGAAGCCTCAGTATGTTCTGTATATCTGCAGATTATCGTCTGTTAACAATTTAATTTATGAGTCTGTGTTGATGCAGACATGTCAGTACCAAATGTAAGAGCAGAGAACAAACTGAAGCACCAATATATTAACTGATCATTACAGGTATTGAATAGCTCTAAACGTTTGATGTCATTGTGTTGCTCTTCAGGTTGCTGCTGATTCTGCATCTTCAACCAGCACTTCCTCCCTCCCACTGCATCGTGGACCCACCAAGACTCTGGCAGCGAAGAAGGCCGTTAAACTGGTCAGCAAAGGCATCCAGACAGGTCAGTCCAACAAAAGAGGTTCCACAGATTGATGATTACTGTGGGTCTTTTCTTTTTTTATTTCTGGCATGTGACATGTCTGGTCCTAGAAACTTTTTAGCACCTATATAACACACTGGGTAAATTTGCTTTATTAAACTCTCTACATGATGAATCACGTAGTTAGTTTGGTCTTCCTTCAAATCAAATTGTGTGAAAATGTCAGTTTACTGCACTGGCTCTGATTGAAGATACATGGTAAAGTTGCAATGAAAGTAATTCTCCCAGAAAAAATCTTCATACTGTTTTCTTTTTCAGCAGGTGACCTGGAGATTGTTAGTAACGGGACTCGACGCCACACCAGAGATGTTGGAACCACGTTCCCCTCGCCTCGTGAAACCAGAGCTTCGAGGCAGAATTCATCTTCCTCCACAAGTGTAGAGAGAGGAAGAGGAGGGCGGAGGAGCCCCTCTAAAATTCAGTCCTCAGAAAAGCAGAGAAAGAGCAAGCGGAGCCCATCTAAGCCCTACCCTGAAGGTATGTCAACTTATTATATCTTATTACAGAGTTATGGGAATGGAAACTTTCTGTTTTTTTCTTTCATAAAAATTTCTGTTTTCTTAATTGTATTTCATTCTGTTTTTCCTTTTTAATTCAGCAATTATTGTGTAATGCCAGAATAAAACCAAACTGTTGTATTGATTTTGGCTTATCTGTGTTTTTCAGGCGTTTCTTGGTTCATCTCTGCTGACGACGTGAGATCGGAGGCAAGGAAGGAGAACCAGCAGGAGGAGGAGGAGTCGACGTGGAGGCCGAGCACCGCCTGGTTTGAACCGTATAGCAGAATACACCCGTGGAGAGAACCGCTCAGACAGAGACAAGTCCATGAAGAACTAAACAAACAGTCTAACTTCATACATTGTGCTGAACCTGATCCAGATCTGAGAACCAAAACAATGTCCTCTGGTCTGGCACACGTCTCTCTCCAGGTTGGTTTATTTGTCTTTTTCTTTCAAAAAAAAATATCTCTGAAAAGGTCTTTGTTCATTTTTAGGCTTGAAGCATGAACGACTCGTTTGTAATGGGAAACCATATTTCAGGTTCTTAGACAGGTTGATTTGTCATTTTCCAGGTCTCCTCCCAAGTTCTGTACTTGTGCACACGCTTGGCAGATATTGTAGGATTAGCATTTTATACCTTTTTTATTTGAGAGATGACAGGAAATTATGGCACAGAGACGGGGAATGACAAGCATTGGTGCCTTTAACCCCATGCTTGGAAAATTATGGAAAATATTTGATGTCCAACCTGATGTAAGATCTGAATTTTACCACCATAAATGCCCTTTTAAAGAAGTTAACAGAAAATATCAGGTTGCCTTTTAAAACCTCAGCTTTGTCCTGTAGTTAATACTCGCCTTCGATCCTGCAGGAGGCTCTGGAGACGCGCCGTCCAGAGTTCATCTCTCGGTCCACACAGAGGGTGAAGCGTCTGGCTCTGCAGGTGGAGGAGAGGAAGCTACAGGCCGTCTTCACCAGAGAGAGACACGATCTCATCAACCAGCACGGAGGACCGGGGAGGCTGCTGAAGCCTGCAGGTACTCAGCAGGCGCTAGAGGAGGAAGTGCTGCCCATGAAGTTGATGCCTAACTGGTTTATTGGATCTGCTGGATGTTGCTGCTCAGACTGGAACAGCAGAATCACAAGTGTCTGTATTTTTATTGCATTGAGCCCCTTAACTCATCATGTCTTCCTTTATATAGTTTATAAAGTTTTTACAAACTGTCCTTTTTAATTAAAAGTATTTAAATGTTATTGTAATAACTGGACTAATTGGTTTGTTACCTTTCTATTAAGGCACTGCTCTGCTCAGGAGAGCTGTTCCCAGGAAGGAGATGATCCAGAGATCCAAACTGTAAGTTTTATTCTTTTATTTGCTTTAATTAAAAGAGGAAATAATTAGAAAGAAATTTATTTTAATGACATAGACAGGCATAAATCTCTATCTTCAAATCTATGCATAAATCTAATCCGATTATCTGTTTCATATGGAGTTTCTACCATGTCTTGTTCTTGATAAAACATTACCATATGAACATTACAACTGTTTATCATGACTTCATCAGACTCGATTCAGCAGCATTAATATTCTGCTTTTAAAATGTTTAAATGTAAATTATGTGACACTGTACGGCCACAGGTGTAGATGCAGTAGATGTTTGGCTTTCACAGAGTTTCTGTCTAAACACGTTTCTCCTCCAGGATCTATGAGAATCTTCCGGAGGTGCAGAGGAGGAGAGAGGAGGAACGAAGGAAAACAGAGTACAGATCTTACCGGCTGAACGCCCAACTCTACAACAAGGTACAACAAACGCAAACAACTTTAATCTGACATGTTGAATTCAATTCAAGTGTAGAAGAGAAGCTCAGATTAAGTTTTAGTTTAACTGTTCTTAAACATGGCTTTCATCTGGATGTGTTTATTAAAACAGAGTCAAAGACAAACTGATTCATACAGACCGTGACCGAAAGTGATGATTGTACTTTTTTTTTTTTATTTTAATTTTTCAGAGAATCACCAACCGTGTCCTGGGCAGACAAACAGCATGGCAGTGATCAAACGGATCAGCAAAACTTTTTTACTGTAAATTAAATCAGTGACGTGAAAACATTTTTAACAACTTTAAGAACAAAACTACCTAATTTAACTAAAAACATGCTTTTATTTATTAGTGACCAAATTGTTTGTAGTTGGTATTTTAAAGATTATGTTGAGAAGTAAATTCTACTCAAACAGTAGCATCACTGACATGTTTGACTTGTCACTTAGAGACCAGTGTATTGTTTTAGCTGGTTTGACTAAAGAATGTATTTTAATGTGAAAAATAAACCAGGTTTCTTTGAACAGTCTTGCTAATTACCTTGTTTTGATTCAACACACAGAAGGCTGACAAAGATGCACTGGCTTAAATGTCTTTATTGATCAGTTATCGGTTGTGCAAGAGCAGGAAGCCACACGAGGAGAAGGTAAGACAAGTTAGCTGCAGATTCAGTACGTCAGCTGCTCACTCAGAGCACAGATAAACACAATGAATAAATAAGAAATGTCTGCATTTTCCCTCTCAAACTACAGTTATGTAGATGCACTATGCCCATTAATTTAACTACAAAATAAAACTTCAAGTTAGGACAGTACTCTGTAAACATAAATACTCTAACAAATCATTAAATAAAACAATTAGCATGGATTGATAAAACCAAAAGCCTTAAAATCAGCGATGGCAAACGTGGTGAAGAGAAACAAAGACTCTTTGGCAAAGATGTAGTTTTGCTTTAAACGAGGTTTGGTTGAAACAAATGAAAAATAAGGCAGGTGACCGCTCTTTACCACAAGGCTCTCTGCAGGTTTAAGGCTCGGACAAAGTTTAAGTCTGAAACAGCAACAGGAAACTCATCAGAACACAGTTAATACAGTCGTTTGGATTTTTGTAATTCAGTAGCTTTACCAATACAACCGGTGTCGTCTATACCAAGCATGTAAAAGTAGACAGTAACAACTTACACCACACAATTAATAAATACTAAATAATTTAAACCAATATAATGCTCCATCTGACTAAAGTGCAGTCAAGCTGTTTTTAAATAAACATGATAAATCTGCAAAAGAATTTCAGTCGCATTTTACACAGTAAATTCCCTCGAGATTAATCAGCTTGTCTCTTTCTGTGCAGTCCACAGGGTTTTTAATGAAACCACAGAGGAAAGTACCAAACCCTGAACACACACTGTCATTTTCTTGCATGTAACTTCAATCCAAGTGAAGCTAATGTGCAGGACTTTGTTCTCTTCTGTGGTTTCGTCAGTCAATCAAAACCTGTTAAATATGCAAAAAGTCTCTTTGATCAAATGACAGTAAAATGCCCACTACTTTAAATGGACAACTCTATTTTTTCTTAATCATTAAAGTTTTTTTTTTTTTATAATCTCTCTTTCCCTTTAGACAGTCAAGTTATAAAAATGCAGTACACAACAGTGACACCTGATTAAGATTTACAACACACAATCATGATCCTTGGTATCCTGTCTAGCATTAACAGTAGCGCCAACATTTTAACACAGAAACATGGAGCGACATCCAGTGTTTCAGCTGCAGGTTCCACACCAGAGCCAAAAACAACAGCTGATAAATACTCAACAGCGACAAGAAAGTTTTCAGTGAATCCGGGCAGCATGCAGCAGTTACAGGTACCTCTACTACTTCTTCTGGCCATAAAACAGCATTCACACTCAAATAGTCTATAACTTACAGTATGCAGGGCTGTAGTCAAGAGCACAGCAGTCTAAAACAAGTCACTACAAAAACTTTATATTGTTTTGAGATCAATAACATGGCCCAAAAAAAATCAACCATATGAGGAAAGGAGATGCTTTCCTTGTTTAAGGGTATTTTGCTTTAAAATTTTCAGAAACTATTGTAGTCAGGTCTACAATTAGTGATTGTTTTTATTAAGAATTAATCTCTTAATTAATATCCCGATCAAGTGTTTTGTTGATAAAACCTTAGGAAATATATATGTGTATAAGATTTCTTCTTCTTTCCAAAGATATTCAGTTTACTGTCATATGGCAAACAGAAGCAGAGAAGTAAATCCTAAATGTCCTAGAGTGACCCTGAGACTGGTCTCTACTACTCGACTACAGCCCTGACTGTTAACAAAGTGCATTTCAAAGAGGAGGAAGATCATTTCCTGCAGCTTGAAATCTCACCACTAGTGACTTTGAATACCTCCTGGTTTCACTTGTTCTGGCTCGGGAGTGGAGACGAAGCTGATGGTGGGGTGGTGGTAGTGGTGGTGGTGGTATGTTGGTGCAGCAGGCAGGATTGCAGGGCAGGTGAAGTTTAGGTCCGCAGCAGACTGTGAACTCTCTGCAGCTGACACTGTGACAGGACGAGGCGGTGGACCTGCTCCTGACCGCGGGGACACGGCACCATGACGCGACCCACCATCATCGTGTCGCCCTGCTTCTCCTCCTTCACCTGAACACAGAAGAATGTAGAATATTAGATCTGTAGAGAGATGGAGCTGTGGCGGTAAGTCCGCTTATCTGAATTAATTCAAATCTCAAATTCACATAGAAGGTTTTGCTTTTTATCGAAACAACTGAGATGTAAAAGTCCTCAATTTTACTGGCTGAATTTTATAGTTCAAATTTTTAGAAACATATCTTTGTGCCTCTTCTATTCAAAGCTAAATAAGAGTGTATGAATCCAAGATTAAATAAACGTGCTGCAAATATTTGGAAACGTGTTTGAGGCTCAAGACTGGCCTGGTCATTCTGCGAACTAAAACTTTAAAAATAAGGTTTTAATAAATGTTCACTGAATCCTTTTAATTCATTTCTTACAATTTAGGTTTGTAGAGCTGTTACTATTCTGGAAAAACTTAATTTAATCAGAGAAAATGAGATAATGATTCACTAAGACTTGAACATAAAACCTGAATTGAATGTTGGATTAAATCATCTAAAACATTTAAATGGTTCAGAATAACCCTAATAAACTGACATTGAAAAACCTGGATATGGATCTGCAAAAAACATGACATTCCTTGTCGCTCTTAAATGTGTGCAGTGTGGGTATAAGATGTGTGGGTTTTTTTTTTAAACTAACTCTCTACCTAAACCTTGACTCAAAATCTTCTCCTCTACCTTTACAAATGATGTTGAAGGGAACGTGGCGAAGTCGGACGAGACTCGAGCTCCGGGCTGCTGGTTGACGACATGCTCTGCTACTTCGTCCTGAATGAAGAGGGAAAACAGAAGAAACAGAGAGATGGACATTTGAGTAATTACTGCATTACTAAATCCTAAAAGGTAAGCACTTAAGGACGCAGCAGTGTTTCGTAGACTTTTCCAGTTCCAGTGTGATTTTTTTGTTTTATATGTATATATCATACCTTCAGTCTGTCCAGAGTGTCACTCAGGGATTGTAGTCTAGCTGTTTGTTCCAGCAGCTGAGCACCAGGTGTCACTGCAGGTCAGAAAAATGGTAGTTAGTTATTTATTCGTTACACCTGTATTAGGAAACATGGTTGACCTGCTCCCTGTCTGCTGTTTAATAGATTAGTATCATAATTATACTTTTCATAAAGCACTGTTAAAACGGTATTAACAATCTCACAAATTAATTTGAAAATATTAAACTTATTCTATCATATTAAATATTACAAAATGTTTGTTCCTTTGATAATTCAAACTAAATGGTTTAAATTTGTTTTAGAACACATTGATACCCACAGGAATAAGGTAAAGGAAAATAATACTAAGATAAACAGGGAAAATGAAACCCATGAGAATCTAAAAGATAATACAAAATGTCATAGTACAGTGACGCAAAAAAAGTCGTAGTATAGTAAGGCATAATAAGTTGAAAAAAAAAGTCATGAAAAGTCATAGTATAGTATGGCATAAAACATCAAAAATACATCTTAATATATTAAGGCATAAAAGCTCATAAAAACGTCATAGTATGGTCAGAAATCAATCAATATGGTATAATAAGGCATAAAAATGCCAAAAGTATCAAAGTATATCAAGGCATAAAACGTCATATAAACGTCATAGCATGGCAAGGCATGAGACGAAATAATATAATTAGGCAGAAAAATGCCAAAAAACATCAAGTATAGTATGGCATAAAACGTCAAAAAAACATCATAGTATTGTAAGGCATAAAACATCATAATATGGTCAGGCATCAAACGAGATAGTATAGTAAGGCATAAAATTGCCAAAAAATGTCATAGTATACTATGGCATAAAATGTCAAAAATACATCATACTATATTAAGGCATAAAAGGTCATAAAAACATCATAGCATGGCAAGGCATGAGACGAAATAATACAATTAGGCATAAAAATACCAAAAAACATCAAGTACAGTATGGCATAAAAATGCCGAAAAATGTCATAGTATACTATGGCATAAAATGTCAAAAATACATCATAGTATATTAAGGCATAAAAGGTCATAAAAATGTCATAGTTTGGTCGGGCATCAAACGAGATAGTATAGTAAGGCATAAAAATGCCAAAAAACATCTAAATATATTATGGCATAAAAATGCCGAAAAATGTCATAGTATACTATGGCATAAAATGTCAAAAATACATCATACTATATTAAGGCATAAAAGGTCATAAAAACATCATAGCATGGCAAGGCATGAGACGAAATAATACAATTAGGCATAAAAATACCAAAAAACATCAAGTACAGTATGGCATGAAAATGCCAAAAAATGTCATAGTATACTATGGCATAAAATGTCAAAAATACATCATAGTATATTAAGGCATAAAAGGTCATAAAAAAGTCATAGATAGGTCGGGCATCAAACGAGATAGTATAGTATGGCATAAAAATGCCAAAAAACGTCATAGTATACTATGGCATAAAATGTCAAAAATACATCACAGTATATTAAGGCATTAAAGGTCATAAAAACGTCATAATATGGTAGGGATCAAACGAGATAGTATAGTATGGCATAAAAAAGCCAAAAAATATCATAGTATAGTATGGCATAAAATTGCCAAAAAATGTCATAGTATACTATGGCATAAAATGTCAAAAATACATCATACTATATTAAGGCATAAAAGGTCACATAAACGTCATAGCATGGCAAGGCATGAGACGAAATAATATAATTAGGCAGAAAAATGCCAAAAAACATCATAGTATTATAGTGAATAAAATGTCATAGTTTGGTCGGGCATCAAACGAGATAGTATAGTAAGGCATAAAAATGCCAAAAAACATCTAAATATAGTATGGCATAAAAATGCCAAAAAACGTCATAGTATACTATGGCATAAAATGTCAAAAATACATCACAGTATGTAAAGGCATAAAAGGTCATAAAAACGTCATAATATGGTCAGGCATCAAATGAGATGGTATAGCAAGGCATAAAAATGCCAAAAAATGTCATAGTATACTATGGCATAAAAATGCCAAAAAATGTCATAGTATATTAAGTCATAAGAGGTCATAAAAATGTCATAGCATGGCAAGTCATAAAAAAGTCATAGTATTGTAAGGCATAAAAAGTCATATAGTAAGGTGCAGTAATGTCACTTTTGTACCACTCCCTCCTAGCTGGCAGTCTCACTAACTCTTTCTATTTTTCTTTGTTGATTGCAGGAGACAAGACTGGTGTGGTGGAGGTGGGGCTACCAGGTGTTTCTCAACTGCCCAGCTACATATATCTGGTTCCTGGTTCTATTCACCGCCAGATTGTAGACCCTGTTATACAGTTCTTTATTACAATTCTTGAAAGCAGCTTCTTGCTAATTCCTGTTTCTTTCTACCTACAGCGTCTCCACCCTGCTTTGTGTGAACCCCTGCTCCTCTCTGCAAAACCCTAGCCAGCCACTTTCAGCTCCAGCTCTGCCTTACTCAGCCTGTGTCCCTGTCTTCTGGCCGTCTACTCAGTCCATTGTCAATAAAAACCCTTTTGATTCATACTCGTCTCTTGTCTTTTGAGTGCAGCATTTGGGTTGTCCAGACTAGCTTAACAAGTTAGTCATAAAACGTCATAAAATCATAGTATAGTTAGGCATAAAATGCAATAGTATAGTAAGGCATAAAATGTCATAAAAACATTTTACTACATTAAGGCATAAGAAAAGTCATGAAAAGTCATATTAAGGTTTAGAAAGTCACAAAAAACCATAGTAAAGTAAGTCATAAAAAGTCATGAAAAAGTCATAGTATAGTGAGGCATTAAAAGTCAGTATAGTAAGGTATAAAAAGTCATAGTATAGTAAGGCATAAAAAGTCCATGAAAAGTCATTAAGGTTTTAAAAAGTCATAGCATAGTAAGGTAAGTCATAAAAAGTCATGAAAAAAGTCATAGTTATGTGAGGCATAAAAAGTCATAGTATAGTAAGGTAGAAAAAGTCATAGTAAAGTAAGGTTGAAAAAGTCATAGTAAAATAAGGCATTAAAAGTCATAGTATAGTAAGGCATAAAAAGTCATAGTATCGTGAGGCAGAAAAAGTCATGAAAAAGTCACAGTATAGTAAGTCATAGAAAGTCATGAAAAAAGTCAAGGTATAAACAAGTCATGAAAAGATCATACGTTACCAGTAAGTCATGAAAGTCACTAGTATATGTAAAGGCATAAAAAGTCATGAAAAGTCCCCCCATAAGTATAGTGAAGGCAAAAAAAGTCATTGAAAAAAGTCATGGATGGATGTTCTCGAAA